AACTAAAACGTCGCCGCCATGTAGGCGATCGCCACAAAGCCGGCGAACACTCCTCCCTCGGCTAACGTTGGGCGGTGGTAGCACAGGCTGTAGCAGCACGGGATTACTCCCAGCGTCAGGATCGTCGCGAACGCCAGCCCGAACACCACCGCGCCGGTGAGTGGCTGCCAGAACTCGGCGCCGCCGGAGATGTTAAGCATCAGCGGCAATAGTCCGCCGATCGTCGTGACGGTCGTCAACAAGACAGGCCGCAAACGGTTGATGCCCGCCTCGAGCAGCGCGTGATTGACGCCCATGCCGCGTGCGCGGGCTTGGTTGGTGAAGTCCACCAGCACGATGGCGTCGTTGACGACAATGCCCGTCAGGCTCACGAGGCCGATGAACGTCGCGAGGCTGAACGGGAAATCGCACACCCACATGCCGAGCACGACGCCGACAAACGACATCGGCACGGTCGTCATCACGACAGCGCTCTGCCGGAAGCTGTTGAACTGGATCGCCAGAATCGCCGTGATCAACACCACCGCGAGCAACATGCTCCACAAGAGGTAAGCGAAGTTCTTGTCGCGTTCCTCGTTCTCGCCGGCGAACTCGGCTTGCAAGCCCTCGGCGGGCGTCGCTGAGCCGCCGATGTACGCCGTGCTGAAACCCTCGAGCGTCTTCGGGGCCCCCTCGATCGGCTTGAAGCCCAACTCGGGAAGGATTTCTTTCGAGAGCCGTGAAAAGACTTGATCGGGAGTTACCGGCTCGTTGACGTCGCACTTGGCGACGACGGCTCGGTTGCGGTCGTAGCGGTTGATGCTGAAGAGGCCCGTGTCGCGGCTCAGCTCGGCGACCGAGCCGATCGAGGTCTGCTGGCCGCCGGCGCCGGTGAGGATGACTCGGCTCAGGTCACGGGGGCTGCGTTGGAACTCGGGCGCCAACTGGATCCGCAGATCGACGTCCTCGTCGTCGAGCGTGACCTGGATACGGTTGTCGCCGGCAATCGCGATCTGCACCGCCTCGGCAACCATGGCGTCGGTCATGCCGAACAGACCGATGATGTCTGACTTCGGCTCGACCACCAGCTCGGGTGCATCGGGACGGTAGTCGGTTGACACGTCGGTCGTGCCCTCGAGCTTTTCGAGTCGGGTGTTGATCTGCTGGGCGATGGCGCCGAGCTGATCGATGTCGTTGCCGGTGATCCGCACCGACACATCGGCGCCGCCGGGCGGGCCGTCCTCGACTTCCTCCACGGAGAACTTCATCCCCGGTACCGGCTGGATGTTCTCGCGCAAGTAGTGGATCACGTCCGCCTGGGAGATGTCGCGGTCCATCGGCGGCAGCATCTGCACCTGGACCTGGCCAAACTCCGGCCCCGCGGCGGCGTCTTCGTCGACACGCATCGCCAGCGCGCCCGACGAGCCGACCGACGTGACGTAGTGCTGCAGCGCCCCGGTCTTCGCCCAGCGATCGAGCGGTTCGGTGATGACGCGTGACGCGGCGAGCGTTTGATCGATGCTGTAACCCAGCGGCAACTCGTACTTGACGATGAACTGCCCGCGGTCGCTGGTCGGGAAGAACTTGAATCCCAAGTGCCCGATCAAGAGGCCGGCGCCCCAGCAGGCAATCCCCATCCACACCAACACGAAGGCCCGATTCTCTAACGCCATCCGCAGCGTCGCCGCGTAGGCGCGCGTGAACGGGTCGAGCTTCGGCCGCACCCGCAGCGCGACGCCGTCGATGCCGACGACCGGTGCGTGCTCGACCTCGCGTTTCCGGTACCACCGTGCTGCCAGCGTGGGAATCACAAAGTGATCGACTACGATCGAGCCGATCAGTGCGACGCTCACGACCTTGGGCATGACGCCCATGAAATCGCCCATGATGCCGGGCACCAGCAACATCGGCAGGAACGCGGCGACCGTCGTCAGGTCGGCGGCGATCACCGGAACGCCCACCTCCTCGATGCCGACCTTCGCTGCGTGGACGGGGTCTTCACCACGCTCGATGTGTCGGTGGATGTTCTCGGCCACAATGATCGCGCCGTCCACCACCATCCCCAAGACGAGGATGAAGCTGAACACCACCATGTTCGAGACGGGGATCCCCGCGAAGTACAGGAACAGCAGCGCCACCGCCATGCTGAACGGGATCGCAATCAGCACCAGGACCGACATCCGCAGACCCATCGTCCAGGCGAGGATCACCAGCACAAGCATGGCGCCGAAGATCGCGCTTGAGCCCAGCACGCGGAACATCACCCAGATCTCGGCCGACGCGTCGCGCGTCGTGTCGAACCGCAGGTCGGGGTACTGCTCGCGCAGATTGACGACCATCGCCTTCACCTTCTGGGCGGCTCCGAGCGTGTTAATGCCCGACTCTTTGTTGACGATGATCACCGCGCCCGCGTCGCCGTCAAACTCGGCCGAGTTGAGCACCCGCCGGTAGCCGTCCACCACCTCGGCCACGTCCTTGACGCGCACGACGCGGCCGCCGTCGCTGCGGACGACAGCCTCGGCGATGTCGTCCACGCCGCGGAGCTTCGTCTCGTTGCGGACCGAGCGGTTGAAGTCACTGGTCTCGAACGCCCCCGCCGGCAGCTTGGCGTGGAAGGCGCCGAGGGCCTGCCGCAATTGCGGCAGCGTGACGCCGTACTCGTGGGCGAGGTCGGGGTCGACGTTCACCTGCAGCTCACGTTCTTTGCCGCCGAACAGCTGCGTGTTCGCGACGCCATCAACGGTTTCGATCTGCTCCTGCACGTCTTCGGCGATCACCTTCAGCGTCCGCTCGTCGAACCCCTTCGGCGCGCGGATATTGAGCAGCATCAGCGGCAGGTTCTCGAAGTCGATGTCCGTGACGAACGGCTGCACCTCGCGCCCGGCGGGGAACTCGTTCCGCACCCGGTCGATGAGGTCCTTTACCTCACGGCGGCCCTCGTCGGGCGTCACGCCGTCGAGAAAGATCACCTGCGTCACCGCCGAGCCGCGCGTGCTGGTCGAGGCGATGAAATCGACGCCCTGCAATTCGGTCAGGGCTTCCTCGACCTTGCGGACGATCTCGTTCTCGCTCTCGGTCGGCTTGGCGTCCGGGTAAGGGATCGCCACCAGCACCACCGCCTTGGTGATCGCCGGTCCTAACTGCACCGGGGTGTAGAACGCGGCGTACAGCGACAACAGCAGCACCAGCAGCGTCCCAACGAACACCATCCGAGGCCGATCGATTGCCGCATCGCTAATCTTCATGCGTGGTTAGCAGTTTGGTTCGTTGAGCGTAAGAAACCGCGCCGTGCAATCGTACTTGGGTTCTACAGTCGCTGCTTGTCTGTCGTGGCGCTGGCTCGGGTGATCTCGGCGCCGGCGTCCTTCGGTTCCACCATCCTCACCAACTGCCCATCACGCAGGCGTTCCTGCCCGCGTACGACGACTGCCGACAGGTCCACCGCGTCCACCGGCAGCAGGATGGTCTCGCCCTGGTCGATCCAGCGCGACAGTTCGACCCGCCGCGCTCGTTGCACTTGCGACTCGCCGACTTCCCAGAACATCACGGGCATCGCGGCGGGGTCATCTTCAATCGTGTAGAGGTACGTCTGTCCCTGCCGAAACAGCACGGCCGCCTCGGGCGCCGCATAGGCGAGAACCCGGTCGGTGACGATGCCCGCGGTCGCGACCATGCCGGGGCGCATCAGGCCGGCACGGTTGTCGATCGCCACCTCGACCTCGAAGAGCCCCGTCGCCGGGTCGGCCCGCTCGGCGATGCGGTAGACCTCCGCGTCGATCGGCGCCCATTGCTTGCCATAGAGGTCCTTGCCTTCGAGCTGGACTCGGGCGCGGAACACGCCCCCCTCCGGATCAGAGCTGCCGCTTGCCTGCGCTTCGGCGACTTGCCGGCGGCGTAGTTCAAGCTCCCGCACCCGCGCTTCGGGGATGTTGACCACCAGTCGCAGGCGATCGTTCTCGACGAGTTCGTAAACGACCTCGTTGGCGGCGACGGTTTCGCCCGCCTCGACCATCCGCCGCGCGATCGTGGCGTTGATCGGCGAAGTCAGCAGCGAGTCGTCGAGGTTCTTCTCCGCGATCTCCTGGGCGGCCTGCGACTGGGCCCGGGAGGTGACCAAGGTTTGGAACTCGGCCTCGGTGATCACGTCGCGCGCCCGCCGGCCGCGTTCGACATCGGAAGCCGCCATCTCGAAGTTCGCGACCGCCTCGGCAACCCGCGCCCGGAAGATGCGGTCATCGAGCCGCGCGAGCAGCTGGCCCTTCTCGACCCGGTCGCCGTCGTCGAGCGGTTCCCCCTGGGCGTTCTTCCCGAGCGACGCCACGCGGCCGGCGACCTCGAAGCCTAGCGAGTACGTTTCCCACGCCTGGATCTTGCCGCTGTAGCGGACCACCACGTCGTGCACCGCCGGCTCGACGGCTAGGGCCTGCACTAGCGTCCGCGGCTGGGCCGCCAACGCCGGCGGCGCCACGTCGGCCGCGGCGGCGATGGCGTCGGCCTCGTCGGTCTTGCGGCTCGACCACCACATGACGCCGCAAGCCACTAGCGTCAGCAGCACCAGGAACGTGAAACGGCCCAATCGGACCAATCGGTGAGTCATCGGCGGGCGGGCGAGGGAGCCGTCAGGAGGGAGGCAGTGGCGTATCGTTCGAGAGCAATGATCGTAGGCGGCAATCTTCAAACCAGCAACGCGGCGCCCCGTCGCGGGACCTTGCCACTCGCATTTAGCCCCCCGTCATTGACGGGGGGCTAATGCGAAGACCAATTGCCGCGCGCAACGCATCGACGACGCCCACCACCGTCACGCCATCGACCGCCACCCGCTTATGACGGTTCGTCTCGCCGCTGAGAATCTTGACCCGGGTGCGGGGCACGCCGATGGATTTTGCTACGACCTTAACGATCGCGTCGTTCGCGCGTCCCTTGTCGGGGGGCGCCGTCACCGCGACGCACAACTCCGCTTCGCGCACGCCCGTCACGCCGTTGCGGCGGGCGCCCGGCTGGGCGCGGACGCGGATCACGACGCCCTCGGCTGCCGCCTCTACCGTCGATTGAACCGTGTCGCTCATGGCGCCGGCGGCGGAACGACGTCGGCTTGCCCTCCCGTCGCGATCGCCATGGCGAGCCCCAGGGCGTTGAACGCCATGTGCATCGCGACGATCGGCACGAGCCGGTGTGTCTGCCGATAAACGTACCCGATCCCCGCGGCGAGCACCGCCAGTGGCACGGGCGCCCACCCCTGACCCGAGTGCGCCAGGGCGAACAGCGCCGCACTGACGAAGACCGGCCACCACGCCCGGCGTCCGCCGATCCGCTCGAGCCAACCTTGCAGCAGAACACGGAACGCCAGCTCCTCGAACAGCGGCGCGATCACCACCGCCATCAACGCGGCGGCGACGATTGTTTCCAACGTTGGGTTGGTGAGGAGTTGCTCAATGGTTGGATGGCTCGACGGCAAACCGATCACCATCACTAGCAGTAGTTGAACCACATAAACGGGCACGAGCATCGCCAAGCACGCCCCTACGCCGAGCACCACGTCGCGGCCGGCCTCGGCGGCCGAGCGAGGCAATCCAAAGTCGCTCCACTTCGTGGAGTAGGTAACCCGAATCCACAGAATCACGAAGCCAGCCATCAAAAACCACGTCAAGCCGAGGCCGGCTGCCGACGTTAGGTCGATCTTTGGCGACTCGTAGGTTTCAGAACGAGGAAGCAGGCTGGCAAGAGAGCCGAGGAGCATGATCGCCGCAAGCACCGAGCTCTCAGCGCCCCACGGCACACGGCGCCGACCTCGCGACTCAATCACCGGTTTTCCTGAAGCGATCCGCACCGCTCCGTACCACGCCGACGCTACCACCAACGCCATCAGCAGCGTCAGCGTCGGGAAAGCGCTCTGCCAAAAGGGGGAAACGCCGACAGGCATCATTCATTCCAAGGTCGGCTGACTCGACCGCATCGCCGCGATCGCCGCACGAGTGTACGTCACGCCGGAGATCGCCGTCACGATCAGCATCGCCCACACGAACGCGTCAACGAGTCCCGCGCCCAGCGTCACCGGCGTCGGCCAGCCAGCCGTCCGCCATGGCGACACGTAGAGCAGGCTGAGCGCCGCGGCGATCACCTGCAACGTGAACTTCCACTTGCCGATCCACACCGCCGAGAAGTCGCCGCCCGCCGACTCCACCATAGCCCGCAGCGTCGTCACCACGAACTCGCGCGCGAGGATCAGCACCGTCATCCACGGCAGCACGCGCGAGTCGGGGATCGCCGCCAGATAGATGTAAACGCCACAGATCAGCAGCTTGTCCGCCAGCGGATCGAGCACGCGGCCCAGCTTCGTGATCGGCCCCCACCGCCGCGCCCAGTAACCATCCGCCCAGTCCGTCGCCGCAGCGAGCACAAACGCCACGAGGCCCGCGCGGTACCAACCAAGCGACAAACACACAAAGCAGGCCACCGTCACCACGAGCCGCGAAGCGGTAATCGCGTTCGGCGGATCGCTCAGCTTCCCTAGGGGGACTTCCGAATTGGAACCACGGATGGACACAGATAAACACGGATAAAGATTAAGCCCACGAATAACGCGAATAGGCGCGAATCATGTTGCAGGCAATCCGATCAAAGTTCATTTCATTCGCGATTATTCGCGTCATTCGCGGGCTCTCATCTGTGTGCATCCGTGTCCATCTGTGGTTCCCCTCAACGAGGCTCCCCAACAGCAACGGTCACCAGATCGTAATCGTTCCGCGCCACCACTTCGCACGGCACGATGTCGCCCGGTTGCAGACCTTCGCCCGTGACGTACGCCACGCAGTCGACGTCCGGCGCGTCCGCGGCGGTGCGGCCGATCCAGGCGGCCCGTTCGCCCGGCACAGGGTTGTCGATCAGCACGTCCATCTGCTTGCCGATTTGCGCGTCGGCCCACTCGAACGCCAAGCGCTGCTGGATCGCCATCAGCTCGTCGCGGCGCTGTTCCTTGATCTCTTCCGGCAGGTGGTTCGGCAATCGCGCCGCGGGCGTGTCGGGCTCGAGCGAATAAGTAAATACGCCGAGCCGCTCGAAGCGGAACTCCTCGACGAAGTCGCACAGCTCCGCGAAGTCTGCGTCGGTCTCGCCGGGGAAACCCGTGATAAAGGTCGTCCGCAGCACGAGGTTCGGGATGCGGTCACGGAGCTTTTGCACGAGTTCACGGGTCGGCCCGCTGGCCACGCGTCGCTGCATCCGCTTGAGCATCGCGTCGCTGGCGTGTTGCAGCGGCATGTCGATGTACGGCACGACCTTCTTGCTCTGCGCGATCGCGTCGATCACGTCGTCGCTGAAGTACATCGGGTAGAGGTACATCAGCCGGACCCACTCCAGGCCCTCGACCTCGTCGAGCTTGTGGATCAACTCCGCGAGCCGCGGCTCGCCATACAGGTCCATCCCGTAGTAGGTCGTGTCCTGCGCGACGACGACCAGCTCACGCACGCCGTCGGCAGCGAGCTGCTTCGCCTCGGCGATCACCTCTTCGATCGGCTTCGTGGCGTGCTTGCCGCGCATCTTCGGGATCGCGCAGAACGTACACAGCCGGTCGCAGCCTTCGCTGATCTTGAGATAGGCGAAGTGTCCCGGCGTGATCCGCAGCCGCTGGTCGTCGTGCAACGGCCGCGCCGGCGCCGGCTTGAACACCAGGCGCTGCTCTTCGAGCCCGCCCAAAAGCCGG